TTTGGATCTCTTATTTTCTGGATTAAATCAGACTCACACAGTGATAAAGCTAGTAGAGGCTGAGCTGGGACATGCACACGCACACGCACACGCGCATACACATACACATACATGTGACCTGTATCCACAAGCTTGCAAGCAGGATTGGAACAGAGCCCTTTCCTTCCTGTCAGCATGGGAGTCCCCCGATTTCCATTCGTCCAGGTGCTACATGGATCTAACTGCCTGCCATGTTCTTACAGAAATTGCTAGACGCCCATGAAGAGCAGAACGTGGACAGCTACACCGAGGCGGTGAGTGGCCGCAGGTGGCCGCCCTGCTCACACATGCTCTGCCCAGAATCTCAACCTTTTTAACTGTGGCCTTGGCCCCCGGCTGAGAATTCCTTTCTGTAGACACCCCAGAATCTGGCGAGTCGCCCCGAGAGGTGCAGGGAGTATTCTCCCCACTTTAGAGATGATGGCACTGAGGCTGAGAAGGGAGAGGGGACATGCCCTGGCCCCTTGGGGACAGAGCTCACCTCTGGAGTCCCCTGAGTGGCCCTGAGGGCCGCCTCCATCAGCTGCTGTGGGTGACCCCGAGGGCCAAGAGGGAAGGAAGTGAGCCGCCAGCCTCCCCCTTCCCGGAGCAGGAGGGAGGTGGAGCAGGGGGGTGGAGCAGGAGGGAGGTGGAAGTGGCAATGGAGGGCACATTCTCCCAGCAGCCACTTCCTCATAGAACTGGCCCAGCTGCTTCTGGATATTCTGGAGCCCGGTTGTGTCCAGCTCAGGACCTGACCTGGTCACCCAGACCGCAGCTGGGCGCCTGCCTCCGGAGTCTCGGCCCCAGTGGTGACAGACCAGCTCCCCCGGTCCCTCCTCCCCGACCGTGAAAGCTCCACAAGGAAGAGAGACGAAGGCTGTGGGTTCCCGGCCCCCTGCGCTGTGGCGCCGGGACAGGCCTTGTCACATCAGGCCTATTTCCCATCCATAAGACAAGGAAGCGGGGCCTTTTTTAAGCTACAGAATTATCTCCCTGGAAGGGAACTGCCGGGCCTGCTGCCTCCCTGCTCCTCCTCAGGCCCCGGCTGGCAGCGCCACATCTGGAGAATCTTGGGACCAGAGACCTTTGGCTTCGGGGCGGGGAGCCAGGGCCCGGCGGGGGATGAGCCGCCTGTCACCATGGTCACGGTTGCGGTTGCTGCAGGTGAAGGAGTACGACTCCATCTCGCGGCTGGACCAGTGGCTGACCACCATGCTGCTGCGCATCAAGAAGACCATCCAGGGCGATGAGGAGGACCTGCGCTAAGCCCCGCCCCGCACCTGTCTTCCAGCCCCTCTGCTTCCCCAGCGGCCCCTCCAGACACTGCGTGAGCCCAGCGGTGGCCCAAGACCTGGCCGGGACCTTCTCTCCTTCCCCCAGGAGTCTCATGGGCCCCAGTGCAGGCTCCACACCGCCTCAGGGCCCTGGAGGCCGGCCTCACCCCTCTTCCCTCCCCCGCCCATTTATTTAAGCCCCAAAGAGACCCTTTTCCACCCCGAAACACAGAGTCTGTGGCATAGGCCTATTGGCTGTGGGTGCTGCCAGGGGGTGGGGGTCAGCACCTGACCCTCCAGCGCCTGACCGGCTGGAGCTGGAGCATGAGGTTGGTTTCCGTCTCCCCACTTCTGTCCCCAGCCAAGCGCTGAGCACATGTCGCAGCAGCTGAGATCTGCTGTCCGCTGTGGGGGGAGCCTCCCAGCCCCCCGCCCCCTCAGCACCAGGAGCCTTCCAGCCTCTGCAGCCCAGCCTCCCGGGAGAGACCCCAGGCCCCGGAGCAGGGGTCATCCTGCACCCACCCGTCTGCTCCTGCCATTGTGCTTTTTGGTTTTGTTGGTGGGAAGCTGCATCTGGCCCCCAAAAGAAAATAAAGAACAATACTTTTGCATGAGTCTCTTCCTCCTCACCTCTGCCACCCCTTCTTTCAGGGCTAGAGTCCAGTCTGCTGGCCCCCAATGGGCTCTAGTCACGGAGGAGGCCGGCCTTGGAGAGTGAGGCCCAGGGATGGCGGGTTTGGGAGGAGCCATGGACCTGGGAGCCTGGGAACCCCCTGTCTTATCTGTGAGCCCTGGTTTCCTCAGCTGGGTAGGCGGCTGGCAGTGCCACCCTCAGAGCAGCGGTCGGGTAAGAAGGGGAGGAAGAGGCCACTGAATTCCAGCCTCGCCCACGTCCACAGTCCCCGGGGAGCACTGCAGGCCCGGTGGCACTTGTTCTCTGTGTCACAGGGCGGGAGGGGGAGCGGTTGTGAACCGCTGGTGGCAGAGTACAGGGCCTGGTAGGTGTGAGGAGTGGGAGAGAGGACAGGATCCCTTTGCCTGGGAAGAGGGGGCAAGGACTCCCCACCTCCACCCTCCACAGTGCAAGCTTGTGAGTCACGGGAGAGTCCGGGGCAGCGGGAGGAGGCCAGAGGCAGACGGGGTCCCAGCGCAGCTCCTCAGACAGGTGCTCAGCCAGGGCCTGGATGGAGGTCAGGAGACGTTCATGTCCCAGTGGCCTGTGTGGCACCGGCCCTGCCCCTCCGGCCCCTTCTCTCACACCTTCATTGATGGATACCAGCTGCCTCGAGCTCAGTGCAGTCTCCTGAGACCTGGGATTGATTACTGATGTCTGCCATGAGCACAGGCTGAAATGGTTTAGAATCTATTTCCGCCACTCGTGACTGAAAAATTCTCAACCCTGGCTGTGCTTGAAGTCAGAAAAAGTACTTAAGCTTGGATCACACCCTGATAAACTGTGGTTTGTCTGGTTTAGGTTCATAAGAGCAGGTAGGGTTGGAAACCACTGGACAAGACAACTCTTTCCAAACTAGAACTTCACTTATTCATTCGCTCGACAGTTCCTGAGCGGTGTCGTTCAGAGGTTACCACGTGAGGGAGGAGCCTGACAAGCTTTCTTCAGAAACAGCAGGACTAGATTGCACATTCTAGTCACTCAGCGAGTATAATGAGGCACCTGCTGTGTCCTGCCCTAGTCCAGGGCCTGGGGATACAGTACTTCTCCATGGAGCCAGACCTGCCCTCTAAGACTGTCCCCCCAAAGGCAGAGATCTGGGAGTGACGCGCGCCCTCCACATCCAACCTGCCTTTTATGTCTCTTATGTAACTGTCTGGTGAAGGGCTGGCACGTCGTCTGTAGGTTTTTAACACGTTTACTGAGTGTTGCTTTCACCCTTGTAGTCCGCATGCTGCGATTTTACTGCTGTCTTGGGTCCTGCAGTCTGTGTATTGGTGTCCTTTCTGCATGGAGGGAGGTGACAGGAAAGTTGGCCAACTCTGGAAACTCTGCAGGTGTAGAGTCCCCAAGCCCGTCATGCCATTTCTAGAGACAGAATACTCGGGAACCTCTTAACGACTCTGGGTTTAGTGTTTTAGAATTTACCAGACAACCTAAAAAATACCCTAGTATTTAGAGATCCAGCATAAACCATTCATTTTCTGATGTCCTAGCACGGTGACTCGGGTCAGTTCTCCAGATCCTGAGTGAGTGACCATGGAGGCAGCTTTCCCTTTATACCCTTTGGCTTCTCTGCTTTCTGTTTCCTAACTACCAGGCTTTTGTGATAGGCTGCCACAGCCCCTCCTGAGCCGGTTAGGATGGGGAAGTTGGTATCTAAGTCAGTGGTTCTCAACCTTTCTAATGCCACAGCCCTTTAGTACAGTTCCTGTTGTGGTGACCCCCAATCATAAAATTATTTTCATTGCTACTTCATATCTGTAACTTTGCTACTGTTAATGAATCGTAATGTAGATATCTGTGTTTTCCGATGGTCTTAGGCTCTACAGCAGCGGTTCTCCTAAGACCATAGATTCTAAGTGCCTGGTCTGGGTGGTTCCAGTGACCTCCCCTCTAGCTAAGCTGTCCCATGCTGTGTTTATGGCCCCTTTGTAAAATGGGAGTATTCTGGGGAACAGGTTCTGCACAACAGGTTCGGGCATCAATGGAGTTCATTATTGGCTAGCAAGTGTGTGTGTTAGAAGGCATGTTACTGGCACAGATTTGGATTGCTAGCCCCCCACCCCCAAATGTCTTATCTCCCCTTCATTAGAAACACCTGGTTAACATCCTGTCTGCCCTTTTCTAGCTATCAGTCAAGGGACTTACTCTCCCTGAGCCTCAATTTCACCCTCTGTAAATTGGGCTAATAAATAAACCCCTGCAGGATTGTTGTGAGGGCTATCGAGGTAAATTTGGAAAGGATGTGTGGCACATCCTTTCCAAATTTATATAATGTTTCAACTCAATGTTTTAAATAGAAATAACTTGAAACCATCAAGTTGTTGGTTTAAAAATTAATTCAAAGCTAGATTTAAAGTAATCAGCCCGTTTCCACAATGAGAATTGATATTCCTGGATGAGAAACAGGATGTCTAGATATAGATGAGACTCTCATCTAATATTCAAAGCTATTCCTGAGAGCAAATTGATTAGGTGAAGCCACAGGCACTTTCTTTCATAAATATATTTTATTGACTTCAGAGAGGAGGGGAGAGGGAAAGAGAAACATCAATGATGAGAATCACTGATGGGCTGCCTCCGGCATGGCCCTCTGGGGATCTAGCCAGAACCCCCGGTATGTGCCTCCTGGTTCATAGATGCTCAACCACTGAGCCACACAGGCTGGGCCATTTCACCATTTTAAAAGGGATGTGATTAATAAACTATTGGTGCTGTCTTATTTGGGTTATACTACTACTACTTACTAGGTGTGTGATCTTACTTTTACCTCTGGGTGCCTCAGTTCCTTCATCCATAAAACACAGTAACTACCTCAGACTGCTTGTGATTTTAAATAAATTGATCGATGGGAAGCGCTTAGAACAAACAGTTCCCGACATATATTAAGCTTCATTGTGGGAGTTAGGTACCGATCACATAGCGCGCAGGCGCGTTGGGGCAAAGTCTCTGGGGAGGCCCGGCGGCCATCTTGGAAAAGGGCGGCGACGGTGATGCTGACGTCATCGGTATGCGCGACGAGCGGGCACGCGGAGGTTCCCGTCGCTTCGGGAGCGTGGGATGGTGCAGGGCGGGCCGCGCGGGCCTGCGGGCGTGAGAGGTTGAGGCCCGCGATGGGGGAGGCGGCCGTGGCCGCGGAGCCTTGCCCGCTGCGCGAGGACAGCTTCACGCGCTTCTCGTCGCAGAGCAACGTGTACGGGCTGGCGGGCGGCGCGGGCGCGGGCGGGCGCGGGGAGCTGCTGGCGGCCACCCTTAAAGGCAAGGTGCTGGGCTTCCGCTACCAAGACCTCCGACAGAAAATCCGGCCGGTGGCCAAGGAGCTGCAGTTCAATTACATACCCGGTGCGTGGCGCTCTGGGGCCGGAGGGCCGGGAAGATGGTGAGAAGGCTTCTGAGGCTCAGTCTGAGCCTGGTCACTGTGACGGGAAAATGGGACCAGGGTGATTTGAAGGGGGTCGGAGCTGATCATCAGGAGGCGTTGGGGTCAGAGAGCAGGGATAATGGGAGCCTAGCGGTGGTTAGAATTCAGGATCTCTGCTACCATGATGATGGCGATCTGCACTCAGAGATCAACATGCTTCAGAGATCATGGCAATTGCGGTGGTGAAAGGTTACTGAGTCCTAGAGGTCAGGGGTCACTATGATTGGAGGTCTTACCTGCAACCTGGACTTTGAACTGTCCCCTCCCAGTGGATGCCGAGATTGTCTCCATCGACACTTTCAACAAGTCGCCCCCAAAGCGGGGCCTGGTTGTGGGGATCACGTTCATCAAGGTACACAGAGCCCCCCCTCCACCTACCTGTTCCTTCCTCCTCACACGCTGAGTGTGGGTCCCACTGAACTTGACACGATCCCTCCTGCCGCCACCCCTGCTCCCCCCTGAGGCCAGTCTCCTTCCGCAGGATTCAGGCGACAAAGGCAGCCCGTTCCTTAACATCTACTGCGACTATGAGCCTGGCTCCGAGTACAACCTGGACTCCATTGCCCGTACGTGCGGCCTGGAGGGAGGGAGAGGGTGGGGAGCGGCCTGGAGGGAGGGAGAGGTGGGGAGCGGCCTGGAGGGAGGGAGAGGGTGGCGAGGGGGCCTGGAGGGCCCTCACTCACGGTCATCTGCCTGTGCTCCCCTGCAGAGAGCTGCTTGAACCTGGAACTCCGGTTCACTCCTTTCCAGCTGTGCCACGCCGAGTGAGTCAGCCCGGGGTGGGGTACGGTAGGGTGGGGGTGTACCTGCAGGGAGGGGCTTAGCAAACGAGACCGCAGACCTGCCCATAGACAATCACATTCTCGCGCTGACTTTTTAACAAATTGTTAAAAAGCGGGACTGTCCTGCCAAAATCAGGACGTCTGGTCACCTTGCAGGGGTCCTCAAACTTTTTAAAGTGGGGGCCAGATCACGGTCCCTCAGAGAGCTGGAGGGCCAGACTATATGAACTACTAATTCCTACTGTAACACCTCGGCTGCGCTCACTGCCCAAAAAACCTGGCGGGCCGGATCAGACTCCTCTGCGGGCCGCATGTGGCCCGTGGGCCGTAGTTTGAAGACGCCTGGAGGGTGTCCATGAACCAGGCGTGGCTGACGGGCTACCGTTTTGTTAGCGCCAGACTAGATAAATCAGAGTTCATTGAGCACCCGTGTTCTAGGTAGCTAGAATTCTCAGGTTCTCAGGAATCTCAGTTTCTAGATGTGAGATCTTTCTCATGAGCTAGCAATGCTATTTTCTGGAGTCGGGAGCTCGGAGACTCCAGGAACTGAAAGTACTATAGTTTGATCATTTTGAGGTTCTGTCCTGATCAAGTCCTAACATGGTCATAGTTCAGGGAGCCACCCTACAGATCGTCTAGGATCCCGAGGTTCTAGAATCCCACACTGTGAGGATTCTGTTCTAGAGGCCTGGGTTCCACCCGGGAACACCGATGGCCTAGCACAGGTGCTGGCAAACTTTTCCTGTAAAGGCCCGGCCGGCAAGTATGGCTTTTGAGGGCCAGACTGTCCCTCTCACAGCTTACTTGTCTGTTGTTATAGACAGGAAGGCAGACATTGACTCTGTAAATGAGTGGGTGTGACTGTGTTTCAATAAAGCTTTATTTATAAAAACAGCTGCCAGGTTGGATTTGGCCTGTGGGGTCATAGTTTGCCAGCCTCTGCTCCAGCAGGTGAGAGTTGTGGAGACTGATTATCTGGATTCTAGGATCTGGATGTTCTACCGTTCTGCATCTGAATGTCCTTGGTGGCAGTTTATACAAGTCCTAGTCATCCAAAGGAGACAGAGGACAGAACCAGTTCCAGAGGGAGAGATCCTAGTGTCCTGGGCTCCTGCAACCCACTCTAGAGCTTTATGTTACCCTAGAATTTTCTGCACCGGTAGCATCCCTAGCGGCTGTTGGCCGGGGCCTCCCTTCCCCCGGCTGCCTGCCACCTTGGCCTGGCACTGCTCGCTCACCTGCTTGCTCCATCCCACTGAGGCCCCACTCTCATCGGGGCCCATTGGGGCTGGCAGTGCCTCCATTGCTGCATCGCCAATGCTCACCATGTTCCATGCTGCCCCCTGGTGGTCAGCAAACGAACTCCCGATCAGTCAAACTCCCGCGCGCGGAGGGACAATTTGCATATTAGCCTTTTATTATATAGGATCCCTAAATCTCATCCGGAATGAAGACTAGCAGATAAGGGCTCTCGAAATGGAAGGTTCTAGCATGCTCACTTTCTATAGTTCTGCACCCCGAGGTTCTGGCCCTGGATCCAGGGGCTGGGTCCCAGGATGCTAGGATTCTTGGAGGCAGAGTTTTTGCACAGGCTCTGCCACAAGGGGGTCCTAGCTGGCTCTGCTTCCAGGGTGCAGGTCGGGGATCAGCTGGAGACCGTGTTCCTCCTGAGCGGGAACGACCCGGCCATCCATCTCTACAAGGAGGTGAGGCGGGGCGGGCACAGCCCTGCGGGTGTCCTCCCGGGACGGCCACTGATCCGCGCGGGGCTGGGTCTTGGTTCTCCCAGAACGAGGGGCTGCATCAGTTCGAGGAACAGCCCGTGGAAAACCTCTTCCCAGAGCTCACCAGCCTGACCAGCAGGTAGGAGAGCCCCTGAGGGCGGCCAGAGGGACCAGGGCAGGTGGCCTCGAGGAGGCCAGGTCCTGGGAACTGACCCCTAGAGAAAGCGGGTGGCGGGGATTTCCTCGGAGAAATCAGGCAGCAGCCGGGGTCCCAGGGCTGCAGGGCGGGGCCGGATGGGGAGGTGGGATGTAGGACCGGAACCCGGTGACGGCCTCCAGCCCCTCTGTCCGCCCGCTCCCCCCTCCAGTGTCCTCTGGCTGGACGTCCGCAACCTCCCGGGCACCTCCCGGCGACTGACGGCCCTCGGCTGTCAGAGCGGCTACGTGCGCGTGGCCCACGTGGACCAGCGGAGTCGAGGTGACGGCGGGGCCCTGGGGGCGGTGAGGGGGCGCGGAGGGAGACGGCAGGGTCCTGAGTGCCCTCCCCCGTCCCCGCAGAGGTTTTGCAGACGTGGACAGTCTTGCAGGACGGCCCTATCTCCCGCGTGATCGTCTTCAGCCTCTCGGCCCCCGAGGGTGAGCCCTGGACGTGGGTGGACGACTCCGCAGGCTCGGCGACCCCGCACCCACACGTGTGCCCTGCTCCAGAGTCCAGCCCTCCCCATCCCCCGCCCCGCCCCTCCCCTGTGCCTCCGGAGCGGCAGTGTGTCCCCCCTCCCTCCACGCCCGCACGTCTCCCCTCCAGCTCCCGCCCCTCTGTCTCGTCTGGGACCCGGCGTGGGCCTCCGCCTTGCCCGTGGGGGTGTGACTCCACCCTGCACCTTGGCTGTCTCTGCTCACTCTCTCCCGCTGTGCTCTCGGCCTCGCTGTCGCACCACCCGAGGTCTCGCCTCTGCCCCCGCAGGTGGCTCTGCTCCCCTTACCAGGTCCGTCCTTCGCTGCTGCCGCCTGGGCCTGACCTCGGCCGTCCGCCACCTGTCCCCTGGGCTGGTGTTCGTTTTCCCCCCACCGTCCTCCCTTCCTTCCGCGGCCCGGCCTTGGGCCTCCCTGCTGTCCCCAGCCTTTGCCTCTTCTGCTGCCGTGGTCGAACCCCAGACTTCCCGTCCTCCTGGTCCCTGGCCTCAGGCACCCTCTCTTCGTCTCACTCCGGGCCCTGCCTCTGCAGCACGCCCTCAGCTCGCTCTTCTGAGGTCTCACCTGTGCTCCTCTCACCGAGGGGAGGGAGGCGTGAGGCGGGCCCTGGACCTGTGCCCCCAGACCTACCCCCCCCCCCCCACGTTCTCTCTCCAGAGACCACGTCCGGGCTGCGGCGGGAGGACTACAGCCTGCTCGTGGCCAGCATGCTGGAGCCGGCAGTGGTGTATCGGTGAGGGGCCCGGGCGCAGGGTGCCGTCTCACCTCCTTCCTTTGCTCTGTGGTCTAACCTTGTCCTCCTCGGCAGGAAGTCCCTGTGGGTGAGGGTGTTCAGGGCTGGGCAGGGCAAGGTGCTCATGTTCCAGGGAGAGGGGGCAGGGGTTTAAGTCTAGAACTTGCAGGGGGTCGTGGAGCCGTTGGGATGGGCACCAGCCGTCTGCTCTCCCTGGAGGAGGGTAACAGCGGCCTCCGTGTGTGATGTGAGAAAAGCTCGGTGTGTAGCATGTGCCGATCGCCATGGTGTAAAGACTCCCATGTGGGAGAGTTCAGGCCACTGCCATGGTGCCAGCAGGCTTGCAAAACCTGTGAGAGTTTCCTCTGGTGAACCAGCACGAGGCAGCTGTGGCCGCCCTGGGGACAGTGTGGGTGTCCAGGTCCCCAAGGGGCCCATGTCGGTCCCCATTTGGGAGTCAGATGGTCCCACCTCCAGGGGGAGGCAGGGGTTTCGGATGGGGGAGAGCAGCTGAGCAGCGTGCGGAAGTGTGAGTTCGCCTGGCGGGTGGGAAGACGATGCGATTGGAGATGAGGGCGTGCAGACCTTCGAGGTGGAGCTGTGTGGGCGCCTGGCCCGGGTCTGGCGCGGAGGGTGGTGGGCGCTGCGGTCTGACCTCAGCCTGCCCCTGCGCTGGGGACCCTCAGGGACCTGCTGAGCCGGGGGCTGGAGGACCAGCTCCTCCTGCCCGGCAGTGACCAGTTTGACAGCGTCCTCTGCAGCCTGGTCACCGACGTCGATTTGGACGGGCAGCCGGAAGTCCTGGTGGCCACCTACGGGCAGGTAGGACCTGAGGGCAGGGCTGACTCCCACCCTCCCGTCCGCCGTGCCCGGCGCCCGTGTAACCCGGCCCCTCGCCCCTCCCTGCAGGAGCTGCTCTGTTACAAGTACTGCGGCCCCGAGGCCAGGCTCCCCGAGGCGGGGCTCCCCGAGGCCGGGCTCCCCGAGGCGGGGCTCCCCGAGGCCGGGCTCCCCGAGGCTGGGCGCGGATTCCGCCTGCTGTGGCAGCGGAGCTTCCCCAGCCCGCTGCTGGCCATGGCCCACGTGGACCTGACGGGGGACGGGCTGCGGGAGCTCGCCGTGGTCTCCCTGAAGGGCGTGCACATCCTGCAGGTAGCGGCTCCGCGCGCTGGGTCCCTGGAGGGGGAGCCTGGGATGGGGTTTCTGTACACCTGCTTGATGGAGGGAGTGTTCACAGGGAGTGTGTGTAAGGGGGGGGGGGGGGGTAGATTCCCTCCCTTCCCTTCAGGCAAGGAGATTGGCTGTAGGCCCCCTCTGGGGGGTGGGAGTAATCTCTTCCTGGGAGGTGGTTCCTGTTGACGCAGGAGAGCGCCCAGGAGAAGGGGCAGCTGGGAGCACTCACAGCTGTGGGAGCACTCACATCTGAGGGAGCACTCACATCTGCAGGAGCATCACAGCTGGAGGGGAGTGCTCACAGCTGGAGAGCACTCACAACTGGCGGGGAGCACCCGCTGATGAAGGGGATTCTGACACGGCATCTGTCCCCCCAGTGCCTCTTGGCCTCCCTGACTTTTGTCCTTCATTCCTTGTGCTTTGTCACCTCAGTCTCGTCCCTGTGGCCTGGCCCAGATCTGCCCTGTGATCTGCCCTCCATCCTTCCCGTTGCCCTCCATGACTGTGCCCTCTCGCTGCAGCCACCCCTGTTGTGCACGTGACCAGCCTTGCTCTGGCTGTGGTCTCCCAGCAGCAGCTGCTGAGCTTCCAGCTCTGGAGTCCCACTTCCCTCCCTGCCCGCAGGGCGGCCTCCAGCCCACCTTCCGCAGCCAGTCTCCAGCTTTCCGCTCCAGCCCTTCCTTAGTCCAACCTCCCAACGTTCTGTTGTGGTCAGGCCTGTGAGCTGTGGCCCGCTGTCCAGCTTCCGGCTGTCCTTTGACCTCTGACCCTCCCACGCAGCCTGACTGCCGTTCCCCCGTCACGGTCTCGGATCCAGCCGTTCCAGGGGTCCAGGGTCCAACCCCGGTTCTCCATTGCAGATTCACCTCCAGCTAATAGAGTCTGACCTCTGACCTTTTCCCCATAGCCCAGCCCCTGCCCCTTAGGTGCCCCTTAGGCCATGGTGAGCACGCTTCCTCCATCGGGTCCGTTTCCATGATCCTTCCCGTGTTGTCCAGCCTGGGTTCTTTCCCTGCGTCTCACCTCACTGCCTCCTCCGAGTCCTTGCTTCGGCTTGTCCTCCGGTCTGTCCCGCAGTGGGACGGCCTAGGGTTGGCCTCCGGGGAGCCGTGCAGGGCAGACCCTGGGGAACCAGTGGAGGAGGTCAGACCTGAGGAAAAGGGAATGAGGTCAGTCCCCGGAGCAACCCGAGGTCAGACCCTCAGGAGGGGCACAGGGCCCTGCGGGCGGCTCCGTTAGTCAGAGCGGCGTCCCAGCACGCCAAGCGCGGGGCGGGGAGGGGGAGAGTGCTCCCCAGCGAGGGCACAGCAGGGGTCAGCCCACAGGTGCAGAAGGAAGTGGAACAACAGATCGATGTCTCTCTTTCTCTTTACAAAATGGATACATGTGTGTGTGTGTGTATAAATTTTTTTTAATGGGAGGGGCATAGGTTCCTCTCACTGGAAAGCTCGGAGGTTAGGCCACAGGAGGCGTCTGTGCTGGGACCCTGGCGGCAGGACTGCCCTTCGCTGTGCTCGGACCCTCCCGTCACCCCGCACTGCGATTCGTTTTGAGCCATTTCACCGAGATCTCTGTCCCTTCTATGCGGGTCCCACCTCACACTCCCAGCATCTAGCCCCGCCCACTCCCCTGCTCCCTCCGAGGACATTCCTCTCTGGTCTGCTTTGCTCCGCCCTCCTCTGGCCTCTCCTTTTCTCGTCTGCGGCCTCACCTCAGCCTCTCCAGGGTAGACCTCCCCAGAACGCAGTCTCCCTCATACTTTGATCCATCCCATCCCTTCCATTGGCTTCCAGCCTCAGACTGGCAGCCGGGCCAGGCTTGTTCCCCCGCTGGAATTCACTGAAGGCCAGAGAACTGTCCCACCCACACACCGTTTGTGCTCTGGCCTGCCACGCTGGGCTGCGGGCCCTTGGGGGGTCTGACCGGCACCCCTCAGCTCTCAGCCCGCCCTCTCTGTCCCCCCAGCACAGTCTGATCCAGGCCTCGGAGCTGGTCCTGGAGCGGCTGCGACACCGAGTGGCGCAGAGGAGACAGCAGACGCAAATGCCAGGAGACAGGGCGGGCCCGGGGCCTGCTGGGACGTCCGCCTCCTGAGCACCCACCCCCTGCCCACCATTGGGGCGCTCACCTCCAGCCCTTCCCGGGGGGACGAGTCCTGAAGGAGGCAGGCCTGGCCAGCCCCGCCACCCCCCCCCCCACGCTGGGACTGTGGGCTGCTGCCCTTCGACCTCACCCAGTGCACCCTCTGTGCCTCAGTGTTCCCACTGAAAAGGGGGTGACCTCACCCCCCCTTCCGCTCCAGTCGCAGCCACCGATTGTATTTCTGTCCCGAGGAGCTGAACTCCCCGCCGTCTTCATTCTTTTGTTCAGCGATCGAGTCCTCGGAGCCTGGCGCAGGTGCCGGGCTGGACTCGCCCAGAGGAACGGAGGGAGGGGGCACGGGACAGGACCCAGGGACCGGCCAGAGCAGGACGGAGAAGAGACCGCAGTGTGGGCCTCAGAGGGGGGAGAGGAGGGTGGGCCCTCGCAGGAAGGCTGAGGTTAAACCGCTGTGGAAAAGGCCAGACTGCAGGGCAGCAGTTCCAGCCGGTGTGCCTCGGACGGTTAAAGCATCGGTACCTGACCATTTAGTCAGGGGCACGGGCCTCGCCCGTCTAGGTTGTCAAGTAAAATAATGACAACGGCCCTGACCGGTGCGGCTCAGTGGACAGAGTGTCAGCCTGTGAACAAGGGTCCCAGGTTCAATTCCGGTCAAGGGCATGTCCATTGATTGCGGGCACATCCCCAGTGGGGAGTGTACAGGAGGCAGCTGATCGATGTTTCTCTCCCATCAGTGTTTCTAACTATCCCTCTCCCTTCCTCTCTGTAAAGAAATCAATAAAATGTATATTTTTTAAAATGACAACAGCGGCAGGGCCGGTGTGGCTCAGTGGTTGAGCACCAGCCTGTGAGCCAAGAGGTCGCCAGCTGGATTCTGGGTCAGGGCACATGCCTGAGTGATGGCTCCATCAGCAGGGGACATGCAGGAGGCAGCTGATCAATGGTTGATGTCTCTCTCATCATTGATGTTTCTTTCCCCCTCTGTCTCTGAAATCAAATTTAAAAAATGTGTTTTTTTAAATGACAGCAGCCAACACAATAACTGTTCGATGTGATCAAATAAAAATTACAAGTGTGTGTGTGTGTGTGTGTGAGTGAGAGCGGCGAAGAATCTATCTGTTGGCGGGCACAGAATATTAGTGATGAGTTCGTGCATCCCATGAGATGAGAAAGGTTGGGAACGGCTGCTGCAGGTCGGGCCCGGGTGGGGAGAGCTGGGGTTGGGCCTGCAGGGCGGACGGGTGAGACCCCAGTGCAGAGCTCTGGACCCGAGGCTGGTCCCAGTAGGGAACGAGGAAACGGGCTCGGAGGAGAGGAAAGGGTATGGGGTCTGAGGCCAGGCCCTGTGGGTAACGCTGAGGCTGGAGCCAGCAGGGAATAATAGAGTTAGATGCCCGGACGCTGAGGGAGGGATTGGGATACACCACGCTGGGAAGGAAGGACCAGGTCGGTCCTAAATGGAAAGCCCCAAGGACTGGGCACAAGGCTGATCTTCAGCCGCAGCCCTTGGCAGTGGGACTGGCACCTGGAAGACTCAGAGGCCTCCCCCCCGCCCCCCCCTGGCCAGTGGAGGACCAGGTGACAAGAGGGTCTGCCCTCCCCCACCAGAGGCCAGGCATCGGTCAGGAGGGCTGGGGGGTGACTCAGAGCAGGGTCAGGCTGGGCAGAGGTGGGTGGGCTCCTGCTCCCTGAGAAGGTCCTCCTGGCCGTTGGCCTCCCACCCGCCGGTGTGACACCCGCAGTGACAGCGAAGGCCCAGCCCCCGGCTCGCTCTCCGCAGGGTCTCGCCCGCCATTGCTTGGTGACCCTGACTTCTCATCCCCCAGAACACAGGCCCACGGGTGGGGACTGGCAGGGAGCGTAGTCTCCGGCTGCCCACCTACACCGTCGCCTCCTCCGTGCGGGGCGGGGGGGGGGGGGCGATCTGTGAGGGAGGGGGTCTGTGCAGGGCGCACACCGAGAGAGAGGCGTGTGTGGTGTGTCCACTGGGCTCAGGAGTTAGTCTGGGCCAGTGGTCGGCAAACTCCTTAGTCCACAGAGCCAAATAGCAACAGCACAGCGATTGGGATTTCTTTGGAGAGCCACATTTTTTAAACATAAGCTAGAGAGGTAGGTACATTGTTATTAACTTAATTAGGGTCCTCCTAAACTGGCCTTTGCTAAACACTCAAGGGGCCGAAGAGCCGCATGTGGCTCTGGAGCCACAGTTTGCCGACCGCTGGTCTGGGCCACCTGGTCCCCCGCAGCTCACCAGGGACGGCGTGTAGTGGGGCGGCTCCAGGGGCAGAGCCTGAGGCCACACTTCACACCTCTGTGACCCCGTTTCCCCATCGGCAAACCGGCTCAGGGCGTCCACCTGGCAGGGGTCAGTCACATCTGCCTGTGCCAGGCGCGTACAGAGGTGTTTGTGGCTCCGCCTGCACGTGGGGAGGGCTGGGTGAGCGGCAGCGGCTGCTATTATTACTATTAACGGGCGCCTCTGTGGCTGTTTCTGCTGGCGGGGTGCGAGTTTGGCTCTGAGCGGCTCAACAGCCCTGTCCTCCCCCCAGTTCTGGGAGCCGCTACGTGTAGCTATTTTATTTTATTTTATTTTATTTTATTTTATTTTATTTTATATTTTATTTTTTGCGTCTTTGGCCCTTCTACGGATCAGAGACGGCGTGTGTTGGGGATGGGGGCGGAGGATGCCTCGGAAGGACCCTCCGGGTCTCCCCAAAACGGGAGAGAGTGCCCGCCGCCGCTGTCCGCGCCGCTGGTGCTGAACCCGGTGGGCGGGCCAGCGGCCGGGGCTGCCTCCTCCCGCCCCGCCCCCCGCCAGGCCCCTCCCCAGGCCGCCCCCGCGGGCCGCCTCCCCTCTGCCCGCCCCTTCCTCCGCCCCCTCCGCGCTCCTCCTCCCTCCTCCCTCCTCCCCGCCTCCCCTCCCCCGCGGGCTCCCCCGCCTCTCTCCTCCCCCGTCCCTCTCCCCGGCTCTGCCTCTCAGTCTCTGGCTCCGCTCTCCTCTCCTCTCCTCTCCTCTCCTCTCTCCCTGCCGGGCAGGCTCGCCCACCACGGCCAGCCCGGGGCCGGGGGGACCCTTCCCAGGCTGTGGCTGCAGGTAAGAGCCCCCCCCCCCCAGTTGGCTGGGGGCGTGGGGAGGGGGCGGACGGGGTTCCCAGCCTGGGGGAGGGGGCGTCGGTGGAGCCAGGAGCCGCTTTCCCCTGAGCTCGTCCATGGCGGCTGGGGGGCTGCACAGTCAGGGGGGATCCCCAGGCCTTCCCGAGGGGCGGGGGCGCCGCCAGCAGCCCACACCCTCAGCCCGAACCCCGCCTGCCTTCCGGGGAGGATGGCGGGCTGGGGAGGGGGTGCCTCCTGGGCACCGAGGGGCGAGGGCACCCCCAAACCCCGCGACTTCCTGTGCCGGGGTCTCCTCTCCCTCCTGCACCTAGGGTTGGGGGTCCCTGTCCGGGGAGCCCCCCGGAGCCCGCCCCGCACCCCTGTCTGGTCTCCCGCTCCCCGGTCCTCTGCCCCCGGCGCCGCCCCCATATAAGTCCAGGCCCCCCGCGCCCTCCCTCGCCATCTGGGTGCTTCCTGCCCCGCTTCCCCGTCTGGTCTGTGTCCGTCCCGCTGTCAGGGCGCCGGCCCCTTCCCCTCTCCCCTCTCCTCTCCCTCTGCCCGGGCGTCTGCTCCCTCCTCTCCCCGGTGGCCCGCCCGCTCCCCTGCACACCCCTGTCCCGCCCCTGGCAGGGGGAGACCTGGAGGAAGGAGATACCCCTGCAGAGGGGGCTCCCCCAGGAAGTGAGGGGTCCCCCAAACTCCTCTCCCTTCTTCAGTCCCGGTCCCTCCCTCGCACCCTGCCAGCCGCACCTGCTCCCCACCTTCCTGTCCCTGTCCCCCGGAGACAGCTCCGTGTCCGCGTCTGTTTCCGGCTCTGAGGCCGGTCCTCGCCGTCCAGCCTGCGCCCCGTGTCCTGCAGACGGCACCAGCCCTGCTGCCCAGCCGCCCCGCTCCTCTGCTCAGGGACGGCCAGTCCTGCCTGCAGCCTCACCTCCACCCCTCTTGCTGTGTGTCCATTCACAGTTCCGCCTTTCCCGTTCTGGGCACCTTTCCTCCCCCAGGCAGAGCCCCAGGCCCTGGGTCCGGCCCGCCAGCGGCCTCACCTCCGCCCGCTCATGGCGTGCCTGGGGACAGAGCTCAGAGGCTCTGAGCTGCAGGCCCCCGGCCAGGGCACCTTCTTTCCCGGGAGACGGGCCCCAGGGAGGTGGGCCGGAGTGAGGGACACGGAGGGGGAGCCCGAGTCCGCAGCCCGGCTGAGGGCGAGGCTCCAGGTGCCGCGTGGCTCTGGCGGGGCTGAGGGAGCACCGGTCAGGAGTCCGGAGATGAGTTTCCGTCTCTGCTCTGCTCCTTGGCCAAGCCCTGTCCCTCCTGGGCTCCAGCTCACCCAGAGCACCGTGTGTGCGTGTGTGCGCGTGTGTGTGCGTGAGAAAGATCCCCAGGCTGAGACATCGCATGCTCACCCATGTGTGTGTATGCATACACGTGCATGTGTGCGTACATGTGTGTGATCCCCAGGCTGACACATCACATGGCTCCACCTGCAGCAGTACATGTGCACGTTTCGGAGCCTGGGTCCCCAGCTTGCACATTTGTGCGAGGGGTGGCTGGCAGCTAGGAACCACTCCTGCCCTCAGCAGAGCTGGGGCCTGAGGGAGGAAGCCAGACCGGACCCTCAGGCTGGCAGTCCCAGTCTGCGGAGGAGTCTCTGAGGTCCCAGAGGCCTGGCCCGGGGGCCCCCCGCCCATGGGAGGGAAGGGAGATGGCTCTGGAGATGGGGCCGGCCTTCTGCCCTCCCGGCTCCGCCCTGGCCTCAACCTGATCCTGTGGCCCCCAGGTTCTCAGCCCAGATCAGATTTCTCTTCTGCTGAGGGACAGGCGGGAGGCAGAGGAGGGCGCGCTGCTGTCCCCGGCCACAGGCGCAGACCTTGGGCTGCTCATTTCACAAATATTTATCTTGTGCCGTCCCTCCTCCTCCTCCTCCTCCTCCTCCTCCTCCTCCTCCGAGGCCTCCCGAGAGGAAACCAGGTTTCTGAGGGGAAGGCATGGACCAGCGGCGCTGTGGGCAGGAGAGCAGGCGGGAGCCCCGGCCCCCGGGCGGCTGGGGGGGGGACAGACAGGTGGCTGGACCTGAGGGAGGCTCCAGGCCATGGCCCTGCCTGTCAGACAGAGGCGGGAGATGCTGAGAGGAAGGCTTGACTCCCAGGTGGCCCTTGTTCCTTCTGAAAGCCAAGGAGGAGGAGGAGGGAGGGGAGGGTGGAGGGAGAAGAGCGTGAGTCTTTGCTTTGGATCCTGATGGCTTTGTAATTATGCCTAAGCCGTCGCTAATTAGGGGGCTGCTAATTAGACATATCATTAGGGGACTTGCCGATGGGGGGCTAATTGTGCGGTGGCCCTTTAAGAATCACCCCTCTCTCCCGCCTACACACACACACACACACACACACACACACACACTCCTTCCCAGGGAGGTTCTGCCAACATTCTGCCTCCCTCTCCTGGAGCAGCCAGCTCCCAGCCGGGGAGGGTGCGCGTG